TTTAAATGTAATCAATATCTGCTTTATAATAAACTCAACTTTTGATTAAGAACACTGTTTATCAAAATGTCATAATTTATAGCTTTTCAAATAGATTACCCATCTAATAAAGAAGAAGATTAGCCATGAATGCTTTTGCCTAAAAAATAAGTCAGCAGTTAAAGAAAATACTCATTGATGTGATATTATAAATAACCTAGTACTGTATATAATAAAACAATATTTGTTGACGACTGATAAATTAGATATTTTTGACAACAAATTATGCAACAAGGACTATTTCAAATGGTAATAATGTTTCAAACACGATTGTTTCTACTGAAATATATGCATTAAAATTAATGTCCTCAACACCATTTATATGAAGAGCGGATATATGGTTATTTTATGATTGGGATGGTATTTGAAATGTTTGTCTTGATACATAATTCATCATGATAGAATATACATTAGCTAAGATAAAATATACAACTTAGACGTAATGCATTGAGCAACTCAAATGCTGATCGATTTGTCTGATTGTTAATCAGCTGATTACTATCAGCGTCAAATATGGCACACATTGACAGCTGTAGGCCTACTGTTAGCTCGGACAGGGGAAAGACGGTTTTGCTTATTAATATTTAACAATAGGGTCTCCAATTATAAAAAACCAATGGAAATCAATTCAATAGGCCTACTTTCAGAAAATGTAATGCAATTTTTTTCCTAAGATGAGAGGGATGAACGTAAAACAAAACCAATCATTTGTATCGTTTGTAGATCAATCGCAAAACCTGAAGTAAAACGTTCCGTTATTCCAATGGCAATTTTAACAATGCTTTGTAAGTAATGGTGAATATGCTGGGCTTACAAACTAACTTTGATATGCTTGTGATGATTGATAATTACTAGTTTCCTATACAATAACTATTGAACTCCTTTTGTAAAACGTTCATTGATGTGATATGAATTGTACATTTGCGTTTCAAACACAAAGCCTAAACTGGATCCAAATTCAAAAGTAGATTTGCTTTGATTCTATTTCAATACACGTAATTTTGTATTGATAGTTTCTGTTCATTGCGTATCCAAATAGTTAGATTATATGGTAAAAACATAGTGCCTTTGTGGGCATCAAATAGTTAACTTAAATCCTCATAGAGTGATATGAACCCTTTTATCTTTTATACTTTGAATGCTATACATTAGTACACCAAATTGTACAGATCTACAGAATCCTTTTCCAAATTATTTGCTTTTAGTGATTTCTGATTTTTATAAAAAGCACCAATATCATTGTTGGTAACAACTAAGTTTTGCAGCATTATAAACCAATTAACCCCTTCAGTATTTTTTTTTTCAAATACTTGGTAATATCAGACCAATTGCAACACTATTCGTCATTTTGCTCAATTACTTATACATAATATCGCTACGATTGTTTCTATATTTTCGTAGTTTAACTTTTTTATGATTTTTACGTCATATTTCCATTATTATTGCAAAATCAAAGATAAGTGCGATCAGTTGGGTTCTACCAAGACCTAGAATTATGTGCATTCTCCTGAATATCATACACAATCTGAATCCTTTTCAAAGGAAAAGCGATTATGGTAAATGATTCATCAACACATTTTTTTCCTTACAAAAGTACAATTGTCCTGCACTAACTGAAAAAACAAATTGGAAAGTTTAGGAAAAAAGTTTTGGAAAGTTTTTTTCTGTTATTTACGCATTTAATTTAAAACTGAAGTATTCAAATTCCATGTCAGTTGTACATAGCTCAAAATAGGTTTTTATACATTGTTAAAAAAAATGTATTATTTACCTGTAAGATACTTATCTATTCTTCCGTTGTCTGGTACGCATCTGTTCTTCTTCTTGCTTTATTTTTGTTGTCTGTAAATACTCAAAGCGTTTTTACATGAGGTGATGTACTCAAATACTTTTTCGGGAAAACCACACATATGGGTTTGATTTTTGATCTTCCCCCACGCTGTTCAGACATATTAAATGATTAAAGTGGGTGCCAAAGAAATTTCTAATAGACTTAGGAAGAGTTATAGAGTTTCGGAGAGTGAACACAAAAGAAACCTCAACAAAGGGGTCTGAAAGACTTCGAAAACTTTGGCTGACCTGGACTCATTAGGCAAGCTTTCTCTTCTATCTCCGTTTCCAAGAATATGCAAAGAGATTAAATCCTAAATTACCACTAATTATGTTACTAAGCTTGCTTGCGCATTCATAAAATTTAAAATACAAGGTCAAAATCCATTACGTGCCCACAACTCTATTTTTTCCAATTACACTTCTATAACTTATTGAAACATTTTACAGGTAATAAATAATGAAAAGAACAATATTTAGAAAAGGTTTTTGATCACACGATGTATAAATTTGGAGAGAACACACATAATAGTAGAACAACTAGTGCCAATCTTAAGCTGTTCTAACCTAACCTAACCCCACCATACATCTAAAAAATTGTTATTTTAAGAAACTGAACTAAAATTAATTGTTATCTCATTGTTGTGACAAAGTCAACAGTGTTTCATAACCGCGGGCCGCTGATACCATAATTATTATTATTAATTTTAATTACGAGGTGTTTTTTTTAAAGCGCAACCCATATTCCAAGTACTGTGAGGCACCGATTAACGACAAAATAAGCTTATATGTTGGTATCCCTGTTCTCATTACTTCATTTCTTATCAGCTGATAAGTACTGTACTATAGTTACCAATGAGGTTTAGTATTATTGGAAATTTATTGGAAATAAGACTCAACCTGGACTCAACATAGTGTTTTCTCAAGCTCTAAGGGTTAGTTGAATAAGTTCATGATAAATCATTGGTTACTGCCAAGAAAGACAAAGACAAAGAAAGAGTTTACAGGTGTGATTCCAGTACATAATAAATTAGATATTACTGACATGAAAAAATTTAATTAAACTGGATTCGTAGTAATAAAAAAAAATTACCTATATACATATATTTGACCTTGTGAAAACGCAATGAGTATTATTTACAATACATTTCCAATAGCACTAAACCACATCGATAAATAAGCAACAGTGCATATCAGCTGATCGGAAATGAAGTAAAGAAACCAGGCATACCAACATAAGCTTTATGTTTTATGTCAAAACACTCTGTACCTATTAAAGTTATTTAAGCATGAATCACCTGAAATGTAGTTTAGTTCACACCTAAATATACCACAAAAAGCAATATGTTTATTGGTATAGTGGTTTATTAAATGTTTATTTTATCCCTCAAAGATATATTTCGGATAAAACACATTAATAAGAAGGTCGGTAAATAATTTTACAAGAAACATGTATCTTGATATAAACTCTAAATAATAACCACTGTTATTCTGTAGCTACTACTGCTAAAGCTATTTTATGCTGAGGTAAATAATCGTAAAATGCTACCAAAACTCTACTCAGTATCAATATCCGAAACTGTAAAATAATCTAGACTGGTTTTATTTCATACTAAGCTATCAACATTTTAATACAAAAACACAACTTTCATACCTTCCCTGAAGCAACAAACCTGCTCAATAAAAATCAATATTATTTAAATAGAGGAAAAATACCTAAAAAAATTAGGCTATATTTAAGTAGAAATCCAGCAAGGTAAATATAAATTCGCTTAGTCTGCAGGTTTGCTGCGGCGGGGGTATTTTTACTAGCGATTTAAAAAATACATGTACAGGTACGTGTTTTTTAGTATGTACCTAAAATATGATCATCGCGTCCAAAAAAATATGGGAGCCTTAACCTTTGGTATAATATGAACCTATTCCTTGCTTTAGAGGTGATATGTTTGCGCCATAAAATACATTAAACAGAGTATAACATAAAACATTTCCACCAATGTGTTGGCTCAACACCTTGTCGACTTACCTTATTTGCTTTCCAAGTTAATGTGCGTTTAAGCCTAATTCCCGTACTAATTAAGCCTAACGAATCAAAGTAGGGTCAGAGATTTGATACCCTGTGTGGTGCTATTTTAGCTTTGTAACGAGAGATTTATGGTGTTTATAATGGCATTTGTACGTTTGTTCACCACATGAGACTGTCTTTGTAAATTAATTATGTTAAAAGCAAGAGTGTTCTGCTAAAATACAATTCCATTACGGTATTAAATATTGTATGTTTTATAAGTACATTTCATACCTTAATAATGATTTTGATGGGATTCTCGCCTTGAAAAATGTGATAAATATTGGACTTTTCTAAAACTTTATTAATTTAATTATTGTAGTAGCCTGGGGGCAGCGAGCTGGTTTAGTGGTAAGAGCGCGGGACTCCGGTTCCTGGGGTCCCGGGTTTAAACTCCACCAAATCTCCAATGGATTTTATCCAAATGATATTGCCGCAACCCCTAGGTCTAGCCTGAAGTAATGTGAAAAATTATTCCGGGCTCGTGCCTAGCGTCCTAAGAAAAAAAGATTTTGTAGACTAAAAAGTAGGCCTAGGGACTACAATAGATTATTAATTCAGTAAAGTCTATAATATTTATTTTTTCTGTTAGGAAATGATCAACCATTTTTAAACCGAAAAATTTTACAGGTGAGTTCAACACATGTGTATTAGTAAAAAATATCTTCAATCACACAAATAAATATAGAGAAAAATAGTCTCAGATTAAACCTAAATATTTTTATGTTCATTGAGAAATACTGCAGCAAAATACATAATGGGTTAACTCAAACCACATACAAGGAAATTTGAATAAGATATATTTTACACGTGTAGGATTGACATATTCTACATCCATTACGGATTCTTCTAAAACCACGTCACAAAATAGAGGTTAAAATTTAAAATAAAAATATTCGAAGTGGTAAGTTTAATATTGTCATACTAATTGGAAAAAAGTAAAGATTATACTGAAATAGCTTGTTTGAAGCTACACAGGTAAACAAAACAAATGTAAACAAATCCATACTTTACCAGTATTTAACTATTGAATTTGCGAACCAAAACACAGCACAACACTACACATTCAATCCAAGTTCCGGCATCGTCCTTTGTTGTCCGGTTTGGTTCCGGGAGGACATGCTATCCTGGGAGCGTCGAATATGTTGCGGTTCATGTCGTTGTCCTCTTCCTGGATCTTCCGTCCAGGATTGTCCTCTGGGAACATTATTGGGTGCTCTGTATAACTCACTTTTGTGACTTTATCAGGCTTGAAACTGCCTTCTCCACCTACTTCAATCTTCTTTGTTGAACTGAATTGTATCGACTTCATCCTCTCATCTTTGACACTAGCTGCTAAACAGTTGAGAAACAAAACTGTTAGAAAAAATGCAACAATGGGGTTTGTCATTGTGAACTATGAATATGATAGAGACTAACTGAAACCTGTTGTCTAAGTTGAACTGATCGGAGATGACACATATTGGCAAACTATAAACATAGTGATATCTCACTCAGATAACAAAAGATTACTAAGGACAGAGGTCAGAAATACTTTGCTTTGGCCTTTATCACCTTACAAATGTTTACATTGAAACAACCCTAACGAACGGAATTTTTTTATCAGTTTCCTGAACTATTTGGGTAGGATTGATGACAAACTGAGCACTACGGAGTTTGTATGTTTGTTTACGTTTAGCTTCAAATATTAAATAGAGCCTCCTTCAAGATAAGTCTTTAGCTAAAATAGTTACGCCACCAAATTTGTACAACATAGTAACATGGTCTCAGACCACATAGACATAAGGCAGTAGGGTAAGTGTATGTTTTCGCCTTAAACACAGCAAAATTAATCAATAGCTAAACAAGCCAAAATTTAATATCACAGATAGTTTCTTGTTTTGAGACATCCTTTGACCTGTAAATCGTAATATTACGTTTAAGTTTGTTGTCAACAGCAGTCAAGATGAAAGGCAAGAAACAATGAATTGTCTTTGTAACAAAGTCACCATCATTATTTTTATATTACTTCATAGTAATTAATACTATTTTGTTTCTATTTTAACCTATAAGCTCGTCCATGCAAATAATTATGAGTAGAACAAATTCAGAGTGCTACTTTGAATTTATATATAACTTTCTGTTAAGTGAAGACGGCAAAATATAACCAAGCAATATTTTGTAAAGCTGGTATATAACTCAACAGTTAACCATTCAAAAGTTAGTGTGACTGTGACAAATTCTAAAGAAATCAAAAATACTTTGATCCAAATTGTTTGAAGTTTGTCAAAGTTGACTCTCTGAAGATTCCATTGGTATAGCGATACAAGTTCGTTATATAGTGAAGCCAAGAGACGTGTCGTCCTTAGCGACCTGGCGTCGTCAAACTTAGTTATAAACGTCAGTTTGTCACAACCAGGATAAAATCGACGTAGAATTTTAAATTAGATATCGGGTTTAGCTGAAATTCAGTAACTAAATTGCGAATAAAAAATAATTTGAAGATGTTTTTTTACTTACAATATGTTGAAATTAACTTTTAAACTAATGTAAAAACTATACCTAAAAAGGGTTTTCAAATCAACTAACTTTCATCAACTGACGTTTCGGCCTCGATGTGACAAGTGCCATCATCAGGGTGAATTGACTTACGCAAAATTATCGCAATGACTACATCCACATTGGTATCTCCACATCTTTCTTTAAAAATATATTTATTACGTAACTAAAGTTATTAAAATTTGAAACTAAATAATAGAGGATGTAACCATTTCATGATTGAGTAATAATTTGAAAAAGAAAGTTAGTTGACGACAGTCAATATTTTTTCGGTTTCATTGTTTTACTGTTTCTATGATTCTTGTTTATTTTTATGGCTTCAAATAGTAAATACAGACAAATAAATAGAACAACCTTTCCTAGACACATTTCTCAGTAACACAATTAATTATGTAGATACATGTTGGTATATTTAAACAACAGAGACATGTAATCGTAACCATTTGTTAACATTAAAATATTCAGCTATTCAACTATTCAAATATTCAACTATTCAAGTATTTGAATATGCAACAATTGATACATTGAATACACTGAATCACACCAACCATCCGACATTGGTTTGTAAATATTTATAAAGAAACCCCAACTGTGCATCTTCTTGAACAACAATAGGAAATGAGGTTTCATTTTGAAAATCTTTCGTAGAAGAAATAGCTGTCTGTATTCTGATGACAATGTAATATAAATAACATACGATTTAAAGTACTTTATAGGTTATTGTACTCCACAAACAATTGTTTTGGATAAAAACCTCTAAATTGTTGTTAGTTTTATGTAGGTTGTTGTATTGGTGTAATAGCTAAATAAGTTTTTAGAGGGAGAACTGCAGATTAAATAATGTTTGATATAAAATTAAATGAACTATTTTTTACAGTAAACTCACCTTATCCTCCAAAGAAACGCCTAGTTTGTAAGGATATTTACTAAAGGGTTAAAAATTTTCTAGTAGAATCAAATGTATTAATACCAATTGCACACCTGTTCATAATTATATAATATTGGAAGTTTAATCTACTTAGTGAAATACGGTGTTAAAAGCTTATCCTAAAACTCTAAAACTGTTAACGTAATTTTTGAGCTAGCTATTGCCAAATCACATCACATCGTATTTTTACAGCGGTTAAACATTACCTTTGTCATTTTGAACTTTAGAAATTGTTCTACATGTTGTACTATTTAACACATAAAAATATATTTACAATATAAAATTGCTATTGGTAGAAAAAAACAACTTATTTTACTGATTTTAGATCTATTTATGAATGAATTTTATGCCAAACGGAATACAAAAAAATTATATTAAAAAAGGTACTTAGTGGTTTTATTTTCCAGGTAAGAAATACATTTTGAAGGCAATAATTCCTCAAATCGCGGCACTTCAAGCGTTACGTGATTAATGGTTGTTGAGTTTCATCAAGGTTAAGTGTTTTCATTAAGAGGCTTTCGCCTCAAGAGAAAATCACGTTAGAAAAGTAAAATTATCACTGTGTTTAAAAGCGTGAAAATACTTTTAAAGCTCCTTCGGTTGATGGTTGGTGTTAATAAACAATTTTTCAGTTCTTATTACATTTCCAGATTCTGTTAATAATAATATTATTACATTATTCTTAGTTTCTGGATATTTTTGTAATACATTAGTGGTATCAGTAGTAAATGGTTGGCAAAGTTGCCTTATGATAGGTGCCATATAGCTATAAGTCATATTATACGAACACTTAATATTTAACTATGTAATTTGTATCCACATCATTAGGCACTGCATTGTGCAGGACTTGCTCAGTCAGTAGCGAAAAGGACTAAAAATCCAGAAGGACTGTAGTTGGTGTCAAACATTAAATTGTATTGGTCCATGTAATCATTCCTGATCTAGTTCATTCCTTTTTTAGCTCAATATATTTTACGAACAAACTCAATGGGCGAATACAAGGTGTGAAAAGAGTAAAATTTATTGTTGAAGAAGTACTTCTTTCAATCAGCTGATCTAGAATAACCCCCAGAAGGGTAATTTTGAGTTGTTTTGCACTGATTTTGTTTTCTAAGGATCTTGAAAAAAATGTACAGTGGTTCTAGAAATAGGCAAATCCTCTTAAGAGTTCTTGGAGGCTAGCGGCAATCTTGGATAGTTCCAAACAGCTGCTGAAAAGTTACTTATCGTAAAAAAATATTTTTTTAAACACCAATGTGATTAAAATTTAAATATTAAGTAAAATGTGGGATTAGGAATGTTCTTTGTAGTTTTAAAATCTTCTTCAAGGGAGTCCATGGAACCTAACGGCCATTTTGGATTTGCACTTAACAGTAATGTTAATTTTGTTAATTTCAAACAGCCGGTGAGAAGATATTTACCATTTTATAATATTTAACACCAGAGTGATTGTAATTGAAATATATATATAATAAAATGTAGGATTCGAAATTTTCATAGTAGTGTTTTAATTGTTTTAAGAGATAGAATGTTTAGGCTCCAAGGAATCTTAAGTACATAGTATTGAAATTATATAGTAATTAGATAGTAAGTAATCATTTAATATATAATCTATGATATCCCCTGTAATGTTTGAATATAAAATACTCTCGCGTGATAAAATTTCGCTTTAACTCTAGAAACGCAAAGATACAGGTAGACCGTACAGATGTAGTTGTAATAGTTCTAGCAGTCATGTTTTAATTAAGTCTAGTTGATTCATTTGACGCAGGAAATGCTAGTGAATCGCAGGTTGGAATGTAATGTAATTTTAGTTTCAATTTCGCCTTTACATTGTTTAGTAGCATGCCTTTAAGACTGCTCTCATTTCAATCTCATACATACTTCGGTATACCTTTCTAGAAATGGTCGACTAATTTTAAGAGTCCTTGGAGGCTAGCGGCCCTCTTGGATTATTTCAAACAGCTGTTGAAGAGATTATTTATCATCCAAAAATATTTTTTCAAATACCAACGTTATTGCAATTTAAATAGGTATCTGGTGCACAGTGAGATTAGAAATTTATTGTTTTTCTACTTTTGTAATCGTTTTATGAGCTAGAACGTCTAGGCTCATAATAATTTAAAGCTGTGAATACTCGGTTTTAGCCCGGAAAAAATGAAAGAACACCGTTTTTATACTGCCTATAGTGGAAAATACTATTGTTTTTTTTTTATCACAATTGAATGTCTAATAATAGTATTCTTAAATTTCCACTTATTGTAAGCTATATTTTAGCTCATTTATTAATCAATAACATTATTAAGGCTTAAATTATGTGCAGAATTAGTATGCTCCTTAAATTGCTTCCACGCAAAGATTTTGGTTCTTCTAAAATAATTTTATTAAAAATATTTACATGATCAAAATTAGTTTTAATTTATCAGTTGAATCATGGAATGATGAAGCTACATGGTTTGAAACATTGCATAGTTGTATTTATATTAGATACATTTCCCTTAAATATAGGTCGATCCATATTCCTGATCTATATTTGACATTTGGGTTGGAAAGTAAAAAATACAAATTAAAGTGTAGTAAGTATTTTATATTAATATGAAAGACCAAAAAGTTAAAGAAACATATGTCGTACTAGCTGCCATAAGCCATCCTGTTACCTAAATGTTATTTATTCAGAAAATGCATCACCCTTTATGTAAGTTTATGTAAATGTTTACAAAAGTAAATGGGTTACGTCGATTTTTTGTACACATATTATACAATAGGTAAAAGCACGGCTGTCATTTTCAGATTTACAAATAAGTTACTTTTCAGATGCATAGGCGCCTCTTACAGCTCAATATTTAATTCAGGTACCAAAATTCTTCTC